GCCCGCGCGCCGGCCTTCCTCCCGCCCCGGCTTGTTCGGGCTGGGATTCCCCACGCCCCGCCCTGGACCTGGGGCTCCCCGCCCCGGGACGCCGGTCCCCCCGCCCCGTCCCTCTCCGGCCCCCGCGGCTGGGCAGGATGCACCCAGCGAGGCTGCGAGGTGGAGGGAGCCCGAGTCAAGGGGTGTGTGTGGGGTAGGGGGGTGGTGAAGAAGCAGACCTCCACCGCCGGGGTGTTGGCTCCCACATCCCGCCCTGGAACACTGGCATGACTTGGGGTGCCCAAGGGGAGGCTTTAACAGCCCCCAAAGGTGGGGAGGGGTGAGGATAGCGGTACAGAGGCGCCAGGGGTGCAGGGAGAGGGGCAGGGTCAGAAGGCGTTTGGAGAGGTTCAGCTGGGTTCCCGAGACCACTCCAAAGGCTTCCTCTGCGAAGCCACCCCAAGGACTGCCTTTTCGGGCCACTTTGCGCTTCCTCTTCCCGCGCGGCGAGACCCACGTACCGCGTGCTCTGAAGGCGGACCCCAGCCCCAGCATCCAGCCTCGGTGACTCCCGCCCACCTCCCCCCTGGAGTCGAGCGGTCCCTGCCCCGGCTCCGAGCCGCGAACGCGTCCTTCGTGGAGCTTCGGGTCGGGTCGCTTGGGGTGGAAGTCCCAGGAGACTCGCCTTGCCGGTGGCAAGAGCCGAATTTCTCCCTGCCTTTATCTGCACAATGTCTCGATTTCCTTCTGGCGCCCTTGAGCGGGCTGCAGCGCCAGCACTCACAGCACCGAAAGTCCCTGAAGGATCCACAGAGCGAATTGCCCCGCGCTTGGATCGATGTCCCGACAGTGGGTTCCACTTGGCAGGCATTCGTGTTGCCAGCACTGCACGCGACATTCGACACCCATAGTCCAGCCTACGAGGTGCCTGCCAGAGGCAAAACAGGTGAGTGGTAAGGCGACCTGTGTTCGTTGCAAACCACTTACTTGGAAGGAAAATCAGGGTAGGGTTGGGTGGGATGCGGTCATCTGATCGCAGAGGAATCCGGTGGGCTCCTGGGAGGGTTTTATTTTGCCCTTCGCTTTTCCTGATTTTGTAGGACCTCCCTGCGCCCACTAGAGGTCACCGTAAAGAGCCATTTTGCTCTGATTCTCGCGTGGATGCCCGGCAAAAAGGCAAACACTAAAACATCCGAGTGCTTGCAGGACGTAAAACCACGCTGGGTGGTTTCTTTCTCGTAGACAGAAAACCTCTAAATTTACGCGCCCCACCCCCCCACCCCCGCCCCCCAGACTTGGGTATCTTCTCTTAAATAAACAATGGAATTCCAACCCGTCACCAGAAGTGGTGTATTTGTTAAACAGCTATTAAAAAAGGGAAACTTCCTGGAGGAAGTGAGTTCAAAGGTAGAGCTGAAGAAGTGATGCTCATGGGATGGCAGAGAGAAAGAGTCAAGCCATCCAAGTGGCAAAATCGCAGAGATGCGGAGGATTAAAGTCTGTAGCAAGCCCATTCCTCTGCCTGGCTGGGCCCCTGGGCCCTCAGCTGCAGAATTTAGGTTTCATTCCTGTAAGCCTCAGGTTTCCAGAGGCCCCGATGACAGAAAATAACTGATGAAAGCTTTCTCTTTCGGAAAGAGTCCGTTGCCCTTTGGGTTGTTCTAAGGAGGCCTTTTCAGCCACCCAGCATGACAGCCCGGCCCCGTGTCTGTGGAAATGAGAAAGGCCCGTTCTGAGAGGCGCTTGAGAAGAAGCAAGGGTGCTCCTTGGAAATAGAGCTCTTAGGGGGCATGAGGATGGAGAAAAGTTCCTGAGGAGCCTGGCTTCATACCAACAAGAGCCAATTCCTCAAGGACTTGTTAAAAACACGTTCTAGAAGCAGCTCAAGTAACAGAATACAGAACAACTCTTGTGTGGATAATTTGCTCCAATATTTATTTCCTGTGCTCTCTGTCTGAAATCCCTGGAAACGCTGTTGATTGAATCAGTTGAAGAAATATCTCCTTTAAAATTTGATTTGAACTTAGAGAACAAATTAATTTGATGACAGTGCGATGTGTGCCTCTTAGGTATATTGTCATAAAATTTCTTTGAGATAGCTTTAAATCATTTCATTTGCTTCAAGAGCAATATTCTTATTTGATTTTGATATCATTAAGCCAGTGCTGCAGTGGCAATACTCAAATCATTTTCTTAAACAAAGAAGCCCGTAAGATCCAGAGACGACTGCCTTGTCTCAATATAATCTGGTTTAGAAAGCACTTGTCAGAACAATTCCATTCTTTGTACTTGGAGAAGGTTATTTAAGATTTATTACGTCTAGATTCTTTTCCGGATTCTGGATGATATTTAGGATTTTCCTATGTAAAGTTGTAGAATGCATTAAAATTTAAAGGCATCGGGCAGAATTTGAGAGCTTCGAAGAAGCTAGTTGCAATCACCCATTTTAAGGAGTCACAAAGGTACAGGAGTCCCTGGGTGGCAGCAATGGTTTGCAGTCAATGACTAAAATGGTTTGCAGTCAACAACTAACCCACTCAGAGTACCATGGAAAAGAAACCTGGCAATCTACTCCCCCACCGTGACCCCACCCCGTAAAGATTACAGGCAGAAAACCTGATTGAGTGGTTCTACTCCTGACCCATCACCGTAAGTTGAAATCAACTAGACAGCCGTGGGTTTGGTTTGTTTTAACAAAGGTTCGTTGAGGTGACTAACGTGTGCCTGCTTCTCCAGCCTGTAGCCTGTGACAGAGACGAGGCTAAAACTAGGTCTTCTAGTTCCAAACTCTTATCACTCGGCCACACAGGCCATCTCTAGTAACTAGATTTCCACAACCTTCTTGTTCTCTCTGCACCCTCCGTCTGTCCTGCCTCTGTGACTCTTGTATAACACCAGCCGACAGCTTTCCCTTCAGTCCACTTTCTTTTTCTTTTAACCTTTTTTATTATGAATTGGGTGAACTGTTTTCCATTCACCGGCCCGCGCTGGCATCTGCTCTGAAGAGGAGCACATTAGGATAGCCTGCATCGAGTGGGAGAAGAATGTGAAAGAAAACTCAAAAGCAGGGAAAACCCCAGGCTTACTGGTTAGATGGAGACTGGAGGAACTGCCAAGATTATGACCCTTAGTCACCCTTCTGAACTGGAAATGAACTCATCCCCATTGAGGTAGTTAGTTTATTGTGCCAACCTGGCCGATAAACACATGTGGGGTTAATTGAAGGGTGGTGGGATAAATGGCTTGGTGAGCCTCCCCTTTCTAGTTCTAGGGCCTCTTGCTTTGGGATGGTCGGACCAGGGTGCAGCTGCCTTGGCCAGTTCCTTGCTTTAGCTGGCCAGGCTGACTTCCTGCAAGACATCCCTGAGGAGAAGCCACATGGACCTACCCTGATGCAGCCCTGCTCAAACTGCCCATACGATGACATCCAAACGTGAGGATCCGGCTTTCTGTAGATGCCGCTTGGCTGCACACCTTATTGCTAAGTGCCTTGGACAATGTGCTCACCCTCTTGGAGCCCTCATTATGATAACATGGCAAAGGAAGTGATGTGAAGATACGCTGAGATAAGGTGAGGGTAGCGCTAGAAAGTAGTTCACTTAGCAGGCCCCGACCCTAGGTGGCGTAGTGGTTATACGTTGGGCTGCTAACTTCAAGGTCGGCAGTTTGAAACTACCAAAGGAGAAGCCCACGGGACAGAAGTTGTGAGTCAGAAACAAGTCAGTGGCAATGCATTTGAGCTTGAGTTACCCTATGATCCCTCACCTGGCAGATGCTTTGAAGCCCTGCTGGCTCCGTGGTGGCATTTTTGCCTTCCATGTGGGAGGCAGAGTTCAATCCCTGTCCCAGGCACCTCATGCACAGCCACCACGCACCTGCCAACGGAGGCTTGCATGTTGCTATGATACCGAACAGGTTTCAACAAAGTGTCTAGACTAAGTAAGGCTGGAAAGAAAGGTTTGGCAATCTACTTCCGAAAATCAGTCCATGAAAACCCCATGAATCAGAAGAATTTGCTCTGTGCCACATCATGGAGATGGCCAGGGCCCAGGCAGCATTGCATTCAGTTGTGCACGGGCCACCTTCAGTCAGGGCCACCTGGATGGCAGCTCACAAATGCTGCCAGCAGGAAAAGCCCCCAGTCAGCTCCTATTGTGTCTGGGTCATTTGATCCCTCCATAGCTGTCCCTCCCTGAACAAAGAGACAAAAGGCTGCAAGGGGAGAATTGTCCACCATCCCATGGTTCACAGGGTTGAATTGTATGCTATGTTAATTAGATCTCAGTAGAGTTGTCACTTAAAATGACCCC